CTGAGTCGTTTATTTGGGTATATTTTAGCTTGGACTATGAATTAGTTAAAATGGCAATAAAATAAGTTTATCTATGACGTACTAGTATTTTAATGTCATAGTAATTCCTGTTAAACCATTACACTGGCTCTTTAATACATAATCAAACTTTAATTATCAATACAACTAAGTTAGCTCCATTACAGAATAGATTAGCCAACGTAAGAACATCCGCTATTAATAAATCGATTATATGTCTAATGTTGCAAACAAAGTTATCAGACAGGGTACATCACATTTGGATAATAGACAATCAAAATGCGTTGTTTCTACTTTCTATCTAGATTCAGTTTGTTTTAATAGACAGTAGCCATCAGGTAGATTTTCATCATTAAGACTATACTTTGCTAGGAATTCAGATTGCTGTAGATTCCATTGGATATAGCATATTTTAAAGTAATAAATTGGTAGATTTATTTATAATTGTGATATTTTAGCATTGTAAATATATAGATGGGAAAGATCGTTATTATGTACGAGGAATAGCTTGCTTGACCATAAGTTATTACCATTAAAGTAGAGGGCCTTAAAATCCAATTTTACGATATTGCCTTTGTATTTTTTCAATAATATCCGGCCAAAGTGCTTTAGTATCTATATGAATAGTTATTTTACCATTCTTAATTACTAGTACTACAGCATGAAATAATTCAATTAAAACCATTGTAACGAGTTCTCATCAGATTTGCTACAGCCCAATGATCTTCATTTTCTAATAGAATGATCATACCCCAACGGTATCCATACGAATACATCATTACGACTAACTATGACTCTGTAAATAATACTTGCTTCTTTCTGTCCCAAACTTTAACTAACGCATCTTTTTCTATTCCTTTATGCAGCGGTGAGTATTTATACTCGATATCATAAATTCCCTAATCAGATATATAATTGCTTTGTAGACTACTCCGTCTTTCTATGGTAGGGTAACTATCGGCTGTATCTGACTTTAGCTATCACCAAACTTGCAACACTGAAATACATTGATCATATAAATATTTTGTTCTTCAAATTCAAATCTTGATTTGTCTCTATTTGTCAATATCGATTCGGACTAAACTAAAAACAAATGTTGACTGAAAAGAATAGAGATAGTTCAGAGTAAGGTTAATGCAATGAGAATTTGTAAGTGGTAGAGAACGAATTGAGTTTTAATTTAGTGGAATAAGTTTTAAAATAACATGGATTACCACATGGTGTTCTTCGTCGCTATGTCTATGAAATTCGTTCCAAATATTACAAAAGTAATCATCTGTGAATATCGAAACTAAGTGATAATCAATATACAGTAATCTGATTCATAAACCATTTCTCTGAGTGCAAGACAA